ATGAGACTTGTAAGTTAGATTCTGAGACCAGAATCGTGTACACGAGACTTGTAAGTTAGATTCTGAGACCTAAATCATGTACACGAGACTTGTAAGTTAGATTCTGAGACCAGAATCATGTACACGAGACTCGTAAGTTAGATTCTGAGACCAGAATCATGTACACAAGACTTGTAAGTTAGATTCTGAGACCAGAATAATGTACACGAGACTTGTAAGTTTTGATTTTGGGAATTAGTTATCAGGATTCAAAATTTGTTTGGTTTGTTTTGAATTTCCCACAAAGCTACACGAGAGCTATCTGCACTAGCCGTCCCTAATTTAACAGTGGAATTAAGTAGAGCCAGCACTGCAGCCTTAGCCAAAGCAATATCATGCCAGAGAAGACCCACAGTACAACATAGGATTTTTTTTATACTTGCATTATGTATGTTGTATTTACGTGTTCTCAAACATAATCCCAACCTGTACAAAATAATTTGTTTGTTTGTTTTTTGAATTTTGCGCAAAGCTACATGAGGGCTATCTGCGCTAGCCGTCCCTAAGTTAGCAATGTAAGACTAGAGGGAAGGCAGCTAGTCATCAACACCCACTGCCAACGCTTGAGCTACTCTTTTACCAATGAATAGTGGGATTGACCGTCATATTATAATGCTCCCATGGCTGAAAGGGCGTGGGACGGGGAACCTGAACCCGCGACCCACAGATTGCGAGTCGAGCGCCCTAACCACCTGGCCCAGAAAATAGTTTAGTTTTTAATTAAATTATAACAAGGTTAACAGTATACAATTAACAAAACTGGCAATGTTTTCCATACAACCATTTTGTGTTACAAAAAATATTATTGTGATAAATGGTATCACGATGCTTAGATGAGACTTTAAAACTACAGAATAATAATAAAAACTAATCTGTTATATGACCATAAATCATTCACTGCAGCTATATTTTGATTCTACCATGATAACGGAGACATTATCAGCTCTAATATCAATGAAACTTTATTATTTGTCTCTGACAACACGAACATACCCAACAAAATAATTAAACCTTCCTTTGGCAGGCTAGGCTTGAATCACTTTATACAACAACGATTGTGAGATAATAGGGGGGCAATTATTTATTTCTTCTTGAAGTGTACTGTATTAATAAAACACTTCCTTCCCCTCATTCAGATGTAGTTAATTAAAAGGCTGTCTGTTACTTTCTCTTTCCTCTTTGATTTAACATAGCATATTCATGCTCTCTCGCTCACTGTCTGGTTCACACATCAGTTCTTTGTCAGCTCATGGCTGGATCGATTCTGATTCAAGTACCTAATCCAAATAAAAACATCTGGAAATCTTGTTTCAGCACCAACAGTGTGAACTGTTGAAACTTATTGCAGCTGGAACGTATGTTTCCAAGTTCACTGGGAAATATGTGTCCTAGCTACAGTGAAAGGGTTAACAGATGGAATTTCATATACCTTATTTTCCCGATTATAGGGTGATCTCGAATACAAGGGGACCCCCATTTTCAGAAATCATGAGAAATA